ATTCTGTTCCTCCAGGAGGAAGTAACATTTGGACTTACTCTCTTCCTTGAATTCACTAGTTTGAACTGCCCCTGCTATTACTGAGCCTACCAGGGTATCCAAAATGACAGGAATGTCATTAGCTAGTGAGATTTTTGCTTTGAAAACTTCAAAGAACACACCCGAGTTTAATAACTTGAGATACGTGGGGATTTTTAACTTTGACAAATCCAGGGAGGTTTGAGGCCATTTTGATGAAATATACCGTACTATTAAACATAGCACCCAAATTTGCCAATCATTGAAATGAGATTTGATAGTTAGCTCACTTTCCCATTCGATCCTGATTTTAGATAATTAACTGAATGTTTCAAATAGTTATACTTTGTTCTTTAATATTTAATAATTGGACGAGAGCTTCCATCATAAAACAAATTTCACGCCCTGACAGGTACATCATTACCCATTGTGTCAATAACTAGAATTATAGCAATGGGCAGCAAAGTTCGAAATTGTTTTGTGTCACTATAGGCCATATGAGAGAGAACTTAATTAGCCTCTTGTGCTGCTGTGCTGAACATAGAACATTCTCCTCTCTCCGAGAAAGATTCTGATTGCATGTTAACATGAACTACTAAATTCCATTTTGGGGTTATGTTTGAATTCACTGGCTTAGTACCCGAGGCCTGTTTCTTATAATTTGGGTCATGCAAGAGAGAATGTTTCTAATTACATACTTGCCCTGAGGAACCTTGCGACATGACAGGCGAAACGTCGGCCTCTCGGCCAACTGCGCGGCGTCACCAGGACATCCAAAAAGTCAAATGCTGAAACTGCACACATTTGTACAGAAGGTGGTTCTCCGGGGACAAGATGCACTGGGTAGAATCACATACATTTATAGCAAACGCCCTGGAGGCGATGCAGCCTGCTGGGGTTATCCAGCTGTAACAGAATTTAATTGTGTTTTCTTAGAAATGTCTTCATTTTATTCAAAGGCATTGGCCCTATGGTTTAAGAAATCGAATAATTCTTGTAAACCTGGCATTCTTTTTGCCGAATTGTTGCTAAGGTACCACGATTCTCTTGTTTTGAAGTCTAGTTTAGAGAATATTAAATGTTGTAAGATTATTTTGCTCAGATCCACATCTAATGATATTGATTTCAACCCACACTAATTAGTAGAAATTTGAGAAATGAATTGTTTAATAGAAGATGAACCACCCTTCACTGGCAGAAAATTGAGCAAGAGCCTTGATGTGAGTGTCTATTATCTTCGTTTTGTGTGAATACCTGTCGACTAATAATTCCCAAGCTTTATCAAAGTTATCTTCTGGCACGTTTAAGGCGCAAATTAAATTGTAAGGTTCTCCTTTTAAATGCGAAAGCAGATGCACATATTTTTTAATATTGCTAAGTGAATAATATTTCATCACTGTTTAAAATTGCATTAACATGCCCGAGAATGTTGGCATGTGGTAAGCTTTGTCAAAGATGTTTTATTCAAGTAGATAAGACAGTGTAACGGCTAATATTTAATAAAAGATTTCTTTTAAAAAATATCTTTGATAAAATGTACCCGAAACGTCTAAGTTTTATCATACATATGCTAACATGGAGCCAGATAGATAAACGTGGGGTATTGCTTCAACCAAAGTTTTAATTGCAGAGTATGAGCAATTTCAATGTTTGTATAATACTGTTCATCCGGACTACAAAATGAAACCAAACTAATTGACGCGCATGGCATATTTTCCAGAGAAGTGGAAAATGTGTGGTTTCATAAAGATAATTTTTTCAACGTCAAACTCAGAGGACTCGATTTTGAAAGAAGGAAGAAGAACGACAAGGAAAATTGAATATTACCTCGTCCATCCTCATATAGTTCTTCATTTCGAAGTTCTTTAATCAGTGCTGCGCAATGTGCGACCCATGGCCTCACCCTCAAACGTGTCCTCTTTTCCTTTTACTTCTTCAGCATTAAACATAGATTAGTTATTGTTAAGCATAAAATAGAACGAACACAACTACTTGTGCGTCATCTATTTTGAATCGCGACCAAAACTACATAAAATTTTAAACAAAATGTAAAACGTTCGTCAAATTTCTTCGTCAAAGATTCCTTTGTCAATTTTCAAAGAATTTCTACAAAGTTCATCAAAGATATTTGTCAAAATTCTTTTTTGTATACCAACATTATACACAATGTCTTATAGCACCGAAAATCGTACAGAAACTGCAGGATTCTGAGACGTGTTCAATTAAATAACATACGTCATCAAACAATTGCCGGGAGTACGACGTTTTTATTTACTCGTAACACTGAAAACAACAATTACAAATCGGCAAAAGAAATACTACGAAACATAAATTTAAGTAATCACTCAAAAAACACTTATTAATAATGAAAATGAAATGTACAGTTCGAAACATTCGTAAAAGAAAACCCAGAACTTCCAGAAACGTTTCATTTGAAGTGAGGTTTTGAAGGTTCGGCGTCTCTCCTGCAGATATAATTGTGCTGGCGATTCTGACCTTATTTGTTATTGACTCCTCAATGTATTGCTCTGCGACATTATTTAACCGTGATTCGTATTTTTCTCTCCCATCCAAATCACAACTTTACCATATTCTTTTTTCATAATTATCAGCTGAATTTCTAGGTATTAGCATCAATTCTGCTTTAATTATTATTGCCTCTGGTAAATGCATTTCACAACGAACAATAAACACCCGGCCAACCACGGCCACGCCTATTAAGAAACTATACAGTCAGCCTTGGCCAACATTATGTACGTAACATGCCATTCTACTTCCAAATTCAGTAACAATTTTACCCTTGTAATAATTTTATAATGATGTTATACAAAAAATACTGTATGCAATTCGTTTATAATGTTACTTTTTGCACACATAAGAATAGCCTCATTCACTTCTTCGTCGTTCGTGCGGCTATTCTTATTCGTCCAAAAAAGAACATAAACTAATGGCATAATATACTATTACAGTTCAGAGCGCTCTTTGTGCAGTTTTGTGAAGGAACGGAAAGTGTAATGCAGGTTCACGCCACTACGGTGCGACCATTCCTATCCTTACGGCCAAACCTGCAACATAAAAACAGAAGATCAACAATGAATTTTGCCAACTAGCACACGCATTATGTGTGCAGAAATGCAAAGTTTATGTTTATGTTAAGTTGTATTATTTTTTCATTTGAAAGTAGTATGCTGCCGATTGCATTACTTGATTTTTTTTTGTTCGAGTGCTTAAATCTGATTTTGTGTTAATATTATAGCAGATACAGTCAATAAAATACTATATACTAGTATACGGTTTTTTCATCTTAGGATGTAGAAAAGAGGCAAATTTCGACCTACTCCTATGAATATGTTGAGTTCGGTTGTACTTTGTGCTGGCGAGAAAATGCAGGAAAATTCAATCCTTCATGGTATGATTCTCATAAATGTCTTAACAGGTAGTGATGTTAAAGCGAAGTTTCATGGTTGGCATTGTATTTTATTGTCAAGTAGGGGAGTACTTGGAATAAATATGGATAATTTGATAACAAAAATTGATCAAAAGCTAGACAAAAACATGAAATATCAAAGATCTTATAAGTAATTTGATGAATCTTAAAGGCCCGAAAAGTTTTGAATACGATTTCTGAATTATTGTCAGATCAACTAAATTTGCGACACCTTTTAGGATCTGAATGTCTTGAAATTAGGTCTGCGCATGCTCCATGGAAATAATGATTGGGAATGTAATATCAGTGAGACAATTGTTTTCAATAAATTGAGTAAAATTACAAAAGAAATCAAGGTGAAAAATGGCTCCCGTATTCCCCTTTCGTGATCCGACGCTGTTCAGTAATTTGTTTTGCCATGGCCGTTCTTTACTAGAGTATAGGTAGTAGAGTAAGGCCGCGGTTTTGCACTACTCCAAGCTTACCACTGTATATTTACTTGTCTATATATTTACAAATCTGTAATATTTGTCAAAAGTGATTTAACGGTGTGAACTTATTTTCATGCAATACTAATATTTATAATTACAACACACGTCGTAAAAATCACGTTTATCAAGTGTCAGTATCAACAGTTCACTACCAGTAATTCTCAAACAATACATGTACGTTACTTTACAACGCATTGCCAGATGACATTAAACAAATTTAAGTTAAAAGTAAAATATTTTCTGCTGTATAACTGTTTCTATATAATTAGAGACTATACTGATTAGCAAAAAGATAAATAATGTTTATTTTAACAAAACGGTGATATATTTTGAATTAGTTTACATTTGTGATGTATATTTTTTAAAAGACTTCATATGTTTGTAACAAATAATGTACTTCAGCTTCCGGGTCAATGACATCCATCTCGATCAGGTTTTTGTCCAGTTTCCCTGATCCATTGAGCAAATGCTGAGATGGCCCCTTGTTTTTGCTTCTGGATATAAATGTAGCTTCACTATGCGCACGTTTTGTTGAACTCTCCTTTTCGTTGTAATGGTAGGAGTAGAGGTAAGGGCGAGTTACTGTTTCGTTAACAATGCAGAAAAATCATACTTGCAATTCGTTTACCGATGCAAATAAGTTTTCTATAATTCGGAGACGAAAATTTCTATTTTTTCGAAATCTCGCGATTTTTTAAAAATTATTTTTATTTATTTATTTTAAACTTTTACTCATCTTTCAACAATTTGTAGTTAAAACGATGGGAAGGGATTCTGGAACTCAAGAAAACGTGCGCAGATACGTAACATGCAGTTTTTACTTTTTTTTAACTAAATAAATCAATGTATTATCAAAAAAAATATATAAGCGACGATCTCGTATATCAATCTACAAACAACTGATGTGAAGGTACAGAACAGTACACTACCTTGCGGGAATGGATATCTAAATTAGTAATGAAAATGTAGATTGCGTGGCTTAAATTGAACCCATTTCTAATCCAAGGTTACGGGCTCAGAGTTACTGTATTCCTCCATGACAAAATGTTTCGGCAGCGTTTCCCCGCTTATCCTGTGAGCGCAGCACTATGAAAACGCTGGTCGCGGGATTTAGCTTGTAGTTCTTTGCCTCTGTTACAAGCCTTATTGAAGGTACTTTACCAGCTCATACTAGGGCATACACATTTCTCTATTGTGTTGTCCTGTCAGTCCGGTCTTTAATTCATTATTAACCCAACGCCATTGTTGAGAAAGAACACCATCGGAAAGATTTCTACAGTATTTAGTTTAAATTAATCTCGACTTTGTGGCAGCACTATCCATGTTCTGGCAGAGTCTTAAAAATGGTACGAAGATTTTTTTGTATTTGCTTCTTTGCATTTTTGGTTGTTTATTTCCGTATTAATTTTTGCTTGTAACGGCAAATATACATTTTTTTCATTTGTGGTACACATAATACCGGGTAATATAGTTGTGTTACATTTTGTATGTAATTGGAATGTCATGTTTTGTATATGTACTTCCCGGTGTAGGTTATGTTGTAAATAATGATTTTGTGACAGTTATAAGAGTAAGATCGAAAATTTATTTAATGTGGGGTGGGTGATGTAGGTTAATTTATTTAATGTGGACCTTAATGTTTGAAAGTCTCTTTTAGACTGAATATTGTAGGTTTATGTTATTAATTATATTAAAGCCAGGATCTTTTTAATTAATAATTTACAATTGTGATTTTTTTATTTTGTTTGAATAAAAGTTCTTATGTAGCGAATTTGTCAATGCTGTTATGCAATAGCTTTTATTGCATGTGAGAAAAACTTTCTTTTCCTGAAATATTTACAATGCTTGTTAGATTTCATTCATAATACAATTAGGTTTGTAAAAGAGTTGGGGGAAGGCATTCTGGTGATCAAGAAAATTGTATGCATAAGTGTTACATTCTATTGAGAAGCTGATAAAAACCAATAAGTGAAATGGAAGCTGATATTTGATTTTGTTCTTGGTGCTAAATATGAAATGAAAATTGTCTGTTCAATTTCTTTCTTGACAATTTTTGTTTCTCCAAGAAGTTACAGTTATAATTATTGTTGCTCTTAACTTGTATTATTGATGAATTCAAAACATTTGAAGTGAAAAATTGCATTGGACCAAATTGCATTGTCTTCTTTTATCCATTGTTGTGAATGTAACTGTTCGTTGCTTGGGTTATTACTCGTCTATAATATGCATATATGTAAACATACACACCTACTACACAGATACATAATACATACATACATACATACATATAGGGCCTGATTTGTGGCAGAATGTGACTGAACAGCGTTCTGATACCTCGGGAATAAATATTAAATTATATTATAAATATGTAACTATTTCTTATAAACTAATGATTGGGGGGGGGGTGTTAGAGGCCTAAAATTTTATTAATCAAGCAATAAATTCATACATATGTATTCGTATTATGTAGGTTTTTATTATTTAGACAATCAAGATTAGTTTTACTCCATTTATTTTCTTCATAAAATCACAAAGTATTTTTTATTTCACAAGGTTCCAGAGGTGTTACCTCAAACCTCATGAACTCTTATTTTATGTAATTTGCATATATGAATTTTTAAAGATTTATTTGAGGAGTGAAAGAAAAATTAGAAATTTATTTTCACGAGAATTGCAATATGCAACACGCAAATAGAAATGGGCCAAAAAAATTAACATAATCAAAATTGTCAAAACTACAAAACAATAATAGAAAAATAAATGTAAACAAAATAACAGAACAATTGGCATAATAACAACAACAACAACCCAAATCCATCATTAAATTATTATAATAACAGGCACAAAAAACCATAAAGAAATTTCAAGAACAAGCTTCACATAATTAACAAATTAAAATCTGGCAAATGGCAATGAACAGCAGACAGAAAAAGAAACCAACAATAATCAATGATAATAAAATAAGTCTTATAACAATTTATTCGTTAGATGACTTATTTTTATTCAACCCACTACTATTGGATCTATTTTCATAATTTTTTAAAAATAAATTATTTAAATAATTAATCTTGTTTGTCTTTTGTTTTGTTTTTATTTAGTGCCTGATATTCCATTCTTTTAATTTTCCTTTCAGTACCCTTCTAGACGTAATTTCTAAAATTTCATCTAGCAGTGAGTTGAGCAGTTTAGGAGTGGTTGTGTTAAGCATTCTCTCTCCAAATTTGTTATAAGTCTCTGATAATATGATATTGTCTTTCTTTCTAGTTTCATAATTGTGCCCATTGATGTTTCTATATTCTTCTTTGAAAAAATTAATTCTTTGTAGTATTTGAAATTCATATAATCTTTTAACTGTCATGATTCCATTGTCCGCTGTTCCATTTCCACAGCTAAACTCTCTTCCGGGGAATTATTTGTTATATTAATTTTTGCATTGAGGCTTCTAATACATCTGCTATACAATAATATATTTAAATGCGTTTTTGATGCAGCCCCCAAAATCCAATTCCATATCTTATGAGAGACTATGAAAATCTCTATGAGAAGTAAAGTAATTTTAATATTTTATAAGATACAAAATCTTTATTTCTCATTATTTTCCAATCACATGTTCTGATTTCCTTACTTTCTTCCAAAATATGCTCTCTCCAGCTCAGATTTTGTTAAAAATTACTTGTAGATACTTATAGAATGTATTATGTTATTACATTGACAGTTCTTAAAATCCTTGTGGATGCTGTCAGCTTTGTGAAAGGATATTTTAACATGTGCTCTTGAGTTTTTTTGGTGTTGTGATATGGAGTATTTTAGTCTTTTTCTCATTGATTATCATACCTTTATCAATAATTTATCGTACCTTGTGGTCTCTTTTCCGCGGCTTTGATGCGATGAAGAGACCATTGGGGGTGAATACCAGAATTCGAAAGATTAGAACGCGAAAGGATGTAGGTATTGTAATGGCTTAAAGGCCTTCGGCCTAGCCACATAGGATCAAGTAATCTAATTTGTTTGTAATAATTACCTATTAAATGAAAAAATGAAATAATTTATCGTATTATTAGACCACGGATTTTTAGGTTTTAAAGTGTGTTTTTGGTGCCTAAAATGGGTTCTTTCAGCATCTCACAATGGGATAAAATGGTACAAGGGGTTAAATGCAATTTTGGTTTTTAAAAGTAACTTCAACGAATATCATCCTTGTCTGGTGTTCCTACACAGAAGAAAATAGTTAAATGAAGCCACAGACAAAATGAATTAGGCAAAGTATTCTCATTTTAGGTTTTAGAAGTAAAATAGGCATTAATGTTGAAATTCGCTCTTTTAAGCTCTATGAAATTGGCATGTTTTAGTTCCAATAAACCTAAAATTTACATATAAAACTTCATTTAGTACAAGGCACATAGGAAAAAAAATAGGATTTTACCTAAATATCCATGGTCTACTTATCATTTACCAATAATAATTATTATTATTATTATCATCATTTATTCTGGATTATAAATTGGTACATGAAACACTTCTTCAGCCAAGGCAAAAAACACAGGGCTTAAGTGATTAATTATTACTAATATAACATTACAGGTACCATTACATTTTTACATTTGTAAGCATTTTAAGAAAATCAAATAAGAAAATGTATAAACTACTACTGCAAAATACAGATATTAATAACAATTTAATTTTTAATAGTCCTTTTGGCTTTGTTCATGTTCTAGTTCTTCACCCATGAATTTTCTCACTAAATGACACATTTCTAGAATCATATACTTCTGTATTACCATTAGTGTTCCTGCTGCATCCAGTATTTCCAATTGAGATTTAGAAGATTGGGTATTATTACTGTGGCCGAGATTATTTTACGGGGCGGATAGTGACTTTCTTTATTTTCCAGACTTTTTATAATTTCACAGTCCCAATATAGCTTTATGTGGTTGTTTTCAATGACATCCAGGTATTCATATTTGCAGTATGAGACTGTATTTGTATTAGTGTCATTTCCTGCTAAATGCTGCTGTAAAAGCTTCGCCACATTGTGTCTCTTATTCCATACTCGCAAGGAGCCTGTAATATGCTCAGTAGTCTCAGTGACAGCTTTACACTTTCATTTGTCATCATAGATTTTCTTTTTGTATGAATTTTCTGTAGTTTTTGGTTGGCAATACTCTATCTTGAATAGCAATCGTGAATCCTGTAGTTTCCCCAAAAGGACTTCCTTTCTTAAGCCAAAGATTGGTTGCTTCTCCATCAACAATATCATTTTCCAGTTGGTTAGCATATGTTCCATGAAGTGCTTTCTGGTCATCTACTGATTTGCATTGTAGGGCATAATAGCTACCTGAGAGCTGCAGAGGGTTGCATCAATGTCGGCTTTGCAAATAACTCTGAACATATCGAGAGATGTTTGTTTTTGATAGAAATACTGCCATAGACCGTTGATTTGTTTTTTATAGAGGTGTGATATGTCGATTATGCCCATTCCTTACAGGAATGTAGGAAGAGTGACATGTTCTATTGCTGCATTGGGGTGTGTCATATGGTATTGTCAGTTGTGTTTTGATAATTCTGAACAGGTCTTCTAGATATGTAGTTGACCATTTAATGAGACCAAAAAAATATGTAAGTAATGGAATTGCAAAAGTATTTATGGCTTTAACCTTATTTTTACTGTATAGTGGAGTTCTAGTATGCTTTTGATTCTCTGTAAGAAGTTCCGTTTCAATTTCTTGTTTACTTTTGTGCGATCAATTCCTTTTAGTTGCAGTATTTCTAAATATTTGTACTGGTTGGGGGTCTTCAAGATCTTCAATGGTCTCATCAGGTGTGTCACAATTTTCTTCGAACGTTACAATTTTCCCCTTTTCAAAGTGATAAGATTTGCATTTATCGTAACCAAATTCCATGTGCTAATTGGGGATGTAATGTCAAGAATTTGTGAAGCTGTTCTTTTGATTTTGCATATATTTTTAGGTCATCCATGTACAATAGATGGTTGGTAATGTAATTGTAGTTTGATCGTGTGGTTAGTTTGTATCCTGTTGTGCTACGAAATGTTTAACTGAGTGGGTTCAGTGCCAAGCAGAACAAAAGTGCACTTAATAAGTCGCCTTAGAAGATACATCTTCTAATATAGATGAGTCTAGAGATAACAGACTGAAGTTTAGTTGCCAGGTGCAGAACTGTGTTCCAGTTCTCCATCATGTGGCGAAGAAAGTAAGTTATTTTGGTGTGTACTTTGCTTATATTTAGGATATCTAATAGATAGGAATGTGGAATGGAGTCAAATGCTTTTCTGTAGTCGATGTATGTCATGCTGATATTTCCTTTTTTTTGTATCGCTTGCGAGTCC